GCTGAGAACTGGCGACTTTGTAGTACAACTTTAGTACGCGGAGTATCCGTGGAGCTGGAAGCTGAGAACTGGCGACTTTCTAGTACAACTCTAGTACGCGGAGCAATCTGTAGAGCTGGAAGCTGAGAACTGGCGACTTTCTAGTACAACTTTAGTACGTGGAGCAATCTGCAGAGCTGGAAGCTGAGAACTGGCGACTTTGTAGTACAACTTTAGTACGCGGAGTATCTGGCGAGCTGGACGATGAGAACTGGCGACTTTGTAGTACAACTTTAGTACGCGGAGTATCTGTGGAGCTGGAAGCTGAGAACTGGCGACTTTCTAGTACAACTTTTGTACGCGGAGCAATCTGTAGAGCTGGAAGCTGAGAACTGGCGACTTTCTAGTACAACTTTAGTACGCGGAGCAATCTGTAGAGCTGGAAGCTGAGAACTGGCGACTGTGTAGTACAACTTTAGTACGCAGAGACTGTGTAGTACAACTGCAGTACGCGGAGCATCTGGGGAGCTGGAAGATGAGAACTGACTGGCGACTTTGTAGTACAACTTTAGTACGTGGAGTATCTGTGGAGCTGGAAGCTGAGAACTGGCCACTTTGTAGTACAAGTGTAGTACGCGGAGGAGTCATCTCTCGCTGCTGTGAGTCATCTCTCGCTGCTCATTTATCTCTCGCTGCTGAGTCAGCTCTCGCTATAGTCATCTCTCGCGGCTGAGTCATCTCTCGCTGCTGAGTCATCTCTCGCGGCGTGCAGGTTTGGCACAGTTCATACTGATAGTATTTGGTTGCATTTGTGCAGGACAGGACATTCAACTGCTGGTCAATACACCACTCGTCATACACCCCTCTTGTCGTGGCAAAGATACAACCCAGTACGCTGTTGTGAGCTGCTGATCCTGCAGGGGGCACACACCTTACACACGTGGAATCCCGTGGGTCAAAAGTCCGGAGCGCGTGCGTTTGACTGGAGGACGCGCATGTTGGAGAGAACGTGGACACTCCTATAGGTCAATTTGTTCTTATTTGAAACTTCCGCCGCCGGCTTGCCCGGGAACTGCTTGTATATTAATTTGTTATATATTAGAAAACAAAATATGTGTGAAACAATAACCAAAGCTTATGTGCCACACAATGTAGGCAAGGAACAAGGACGTCTCAATCTGAAGGTGGAAGAGAGGGATCTCTGGGGGGGGGGGAAAGCAAAACAAAACTTAAAGAGCATTTGGCAAAGGCTGGGAGGGGGGGTCGCGCAAATTTATATTTTGTGTTTATCTGTTTTAATAAAGAGCCTTTGGCAAAGGCTGGGAGGGGTGGTCGAGCAATATCTATTTTTTTTTTGGGGGGGGGGGGGGGGCCCCCCCCCTCCCGATCCAGATTAGGAGCCTCTGGAAAAGGCTAGGAGGGAGGATTGACCGAATGGTCGACCCTCCCCCTCCAGATTAGTATCCTTTGGCAAAGGCTGAGAGGGAGGGTCTACCAAAAAAAGATTGGGTCGACCCCCTCCTCCAGATTAGGATTCTTTGGCAAAGGCTGGCAAGTCTAGTAGAGCAGGGTGATAAAAGCAAGTTTTCTAATTTTGAGGCTAATGTTCACAATTTTTGAAATTTATACAACTGACTTTGAACTGAAGCATGCTGGTATTACAGTAGTGTGTTAAGATTGATGCTTTCACCATCAAAGCTGAAGATCAAAAGAACCCAAGTGAGTGGCTTTTATCAATAAGATTGGAGGCTGGAGAGTGAGCAAGTATTGCCTAATGAATTTTACCAAGTTGTAGAAAATAAAATTGTAGAAAATTCAACATCTAAAGATAGATACATTCAAAATGATGAGTATGATACTGATACTGATGATATTGTGAGTGACATTGAGAAAGTGAACCAGGTAATGATTAGGATATTACTTGCAGGAGCAAGCAAAAGTCATATTTGCCAGAAAATGGTTGATAATGGTTGCACAATATTATTTGTATGGCCTACTAATCGGTTATCACAGTACTTTGAAGTTGATACCAGAAAGATCAATAACAATATTTGTTGGTCAAAGTTTAGCTTAGCTGCTTCACTACTCTTAGCATCAATTCTTTTGTTTTTGAAGCTGGAACATGTGATGCAAGACCAGCTGTTTCACTACAGACTTCATATCCTTTGTGTAAGAGGCCCAAATATAGTAAAAAACACACAAAAACACTGAAAAACACGGGCCCTCACAGCGTTCCTCTCTCAAAAGAAACCCGTTGCTCCAAATCATCGCAGAAAACTGGCCCGATGGAGAAACGTACGCAGATGGATGGCCATCGAAGAAGGGGCGCTGGGATTTTGGGTCGCCCTTTTTGGCAGCTTGGGAGGGTTCACACCCGCTCAAGGAGCAAAGGGCAATATATATAGTTTTTGTGGAATAGCGTTGTCAACCACTTTTCCATATATAGATCAATACTAGACCTCAGCAGCGACATGGCCTGGTTCAGGTTCGGGATCCGAAAGCCCTCCAGCAGCAGCACAGATGGAAGATCTGCTGCTTTTCGTGCGCGGTGTGAAACCCGCGGGACGTTGGAGCGAAAGGATCTCAGTGGGTGTTTCTTTCTGCCGGCCAGGATTTGGCTCTGGGTCAGAACCAGGATACCTTGGTACCGGGGCTCGAGATTTTGACCCATCCCCAACTCAGTTGATAATTACTGGTGTCGATAGTTGGCCATGCCAAAATGATTGAACCAGAATCCCAACACAAGAGTGTTTCTGGTGAGTCTCCCTATGTTCGGATGCAGCTATGTGGAGTGGCGGTTCTGGTAGACTTGGGATGGCTTAATGGATCTTCAAAAGACATGCGAAAGGCAACTTCGACTGGTGACCGCTGGCACAAACATCACAATGCATCTTGTGAATCAAGTGTGAAGCAACTATCACCAGTGTGAAGCCGGTTTCTGGTAACTAGATTCCTCGATTAGAGTGGATCAACAGAACCAGTTGCAGTTGCAAAGGTGCTTGCTTCATAAATGGGAGTCTAGGTGGAAGATTACCCAAAAGGATCCAAAGGGAGTGATCCTTGAGCAACATGAGGAGGTCCACCGGGTTTAATTTGCTGGCAATTTGTTGGGCAGCTCACACAAGTAATTTACTCCTAAGGAAACAAACGTTGCACTCGACAGGGACTGTAAGCAGCTTTCCTTGCCAATCGCTCAAGGGAAAAGAAAAACAGCATGGAAGCGAGATAAAACCAATTTGTTTGGATCTGCTGTTGGACACACAGATTGTCAAGTTTCCAGTAGACCTTGGGTCCCCCTTGTTTCATGGAAATGGCCCAAAGCCCACGGCCGGCGCACCTCCACCTGGCACTGGCATCTGGTGAGCCTTAGTCATTCCATTGGATCCAACAGGATCCAACATGGGGGTCTACTCAACATCTACTCAGAATCTACTCTCTATCCAAAGTGGAAGTGGAAAATGACCCTGGAGCCAGCCTGGAGCATGATCATGATCCTGTGCTAGACAGTGCCTTTTCCACTTCCGAATGTTGCTTAGAAGAAGGATCTTCAATTGAAAAGAAGCAGCGATCCTGAACCTCATCCAGAACTCAACAAAGAATGCGCTGCCCAACTCCTCTTCTGGAGGTGTTCAACTCGTTTCTCGAAGCTTGGAACAGTCCCTGTCGCTCGCCCGCTTTGGAGCCACAGGCTGCTCCCTACACCCCTCCCTCCCATCGGCTGCTGTCTCGACTGCTGTCTCTCAACTGATTGACCAGGCTTACGGCCAAGCATGCTTAAGCTTCACGGTCAAAAGCCATTCTCTCTTGGCCACAGAATGTGCGGGGGCGCTTTGATTTCCAAGCCGTGGAAATGAAATGAAATAAAAGGGATAGACATACAAATACATAAATCGTCAGACTTCACAGCTGCTTTTGGACCGGCTTCCATGACCCGAACACTGCGGTGAGCACGACGCTCTCCTGGGCCGTGCTCACCGCCGACGGTGCAGGCAGCAATGAGGCGGCCGGGGCGAGTGGAAGGCCTCGGTGGGCGTCGCGAATGGCTTTCGGGGAGATCTCAAGGAAAGTCATGGATCGTGATGTCCATGTCGGTTTGATGGCTTAGGGATCACTGGGTTGCTCACTGTCTTGTTCAAGCTTTGGGGCCATTGGCTGTGAACACTGAGTGTTGCGAAGAAGTGATCGAATGTCCTCAATAAATGTTAAACAATGAATAGTTTGCCCTTCTGGTGGCTCATTGCGCGCTTGCTGAGCAGGCAAACGGTTTTAGATGTCAGAAATGTTTGATGAGTTCCTCTGCATGCGCTGATTCCCTGATTCGTGCAAGAACTCAATTAATGTTTTGCCACAGGGAAGAAGTGGTGCTCCATGTACAGAAGTGGTGCGTTGTTCAAAACCTACGCTTGGAGCGAACGGCAGGACAGACTTGCACACATGCGACTGCGCTTTGCACACACGCGACTCACATTTCAGCTTATGCGAATGATGCTCAATTGTGGATTGTTGTGAAATTTATTCCGGATTAGGTTGATTTGGCTCCTTGCTTCGTTGAAAGTCGTATGACACAACAGAGCTGACATGCTTGTAAGGCCTACCCGAGATCTTCTAAGTTGACAAGCTGCTCTTTTGCCCATCAATGGAAGAATGGCCTCCCCTTATCGTTCGTCTCCAGCTCCGGACCTTGACTGGAATCAGACCAGGAAGTCAAGCTCTCATCACCTGGGCATGGCAGCTGAGCCGAAAGAACCACCGGTGGTACAAATGCTAAAGAAGTCGGCTTGACCGTTGTTATAACCCCAAACGCGTGTCACATTACTCAAAGAGATCAATACTTCTGGTGTGGTTGGTAGGACAAGATTGGCATTTGTTGTGCCGTCTTGGTGTTCAATTCCTGAAAAACTCCCTTGACCTGCCACTTCAACAGAGCGAACAGTTTGGAATCTATACATCGCCTGTCTGGGCCATATAAGTCAGCAAGAACAACTATCATCAACTATCCTCGGAGTCACACACAGGTGTGAGCCCCCCATCAAAGAAAAACGAAACAAAAAAGGAAACTCTTAGAGGAGAACACCTTTTGTGGAAACCTTGGGTGAACCCTTTAAGATGGGAAAACCCTCGGTCCCCAAAAGAAACATCCGGTCCCGAAGCCCATCAAAACCCCCAGAACACATCCAGCTCACACGGGGATACACGGACGCGTGAGAAAGAAATCCGGTGACCATATGTGGGTGCGTCCGACCCACCGATCCAGGAGTTCTTATAGTCAATTGAACCAGACTCTTTATTTCGTCCTTCTTTGAGTCATGAAAGACTTCCGAATTTCGGAGACACACCTCTTCTCACCTTTTTTGGAGACACACGTCCAGTGTGCCGCCGCTTTCTCGCCTCCTCTCCGCCGGTCCGTGGCACGAGTCCGTCGCTCGGGGGACCTGCGGGTCGGTCGGGCGCTCACAGCGTGGCGCTCGGTGGGGGGGGATCCATTGCCGTTTGAGTGAAGTTAGCTATGACATGAAGCTATGAACGGGGCTCCTGGCATCGCTACGAAAGGAGCGATCGGACGCTATGAACGGGGCTCCTGCTCGTACTACTAGGGACGCTACTAGTGATATCCCACGGCGCGCATGCAACCACGTAACCAGACGGAGCCAGACGTCCCACGTCCCGCTCGCCGCTCGCTGCCGGTGTCTACGCGCCAGGGCTCCCGGGTTGCGCGCCCGGGCGTCGCGACGGCGCCGCGCCAGACCCGACCGATTCCGCTGGGGTCAGGGAGTTGTTCGAGCAAGTGAGAAGCTCGCTTTTTCGTACGAAACAGATTGAAACAGTAGACTTGCCCACTTGAGCTTCCAGGCCTCTTCAAGCTCTGCTCGGGTGTCCTGAAAACAAACCGCTCGCACCGACGAGCACTAAAGGTGCACAAGACGCCGTCTTTTGTCCCTGTGTTCCTGCCATGGCAAAGGCTTGACTATTGGAAGTTTGTTGCTCGAACAAAGGCATGCAAAACAAATAAATAAACATAACAAACAAACAAACAAACTAACTAACTAACTAATGAACTAACAAACGAACTAACCAACCAACTATATAAATATAACTATATGTAACTAAAACTGACTAATTATAGAAATAAGTAAATAGCTAACTAGCTAACTAGCTAAATAACTAACTAACTGGCTAAACACACAGAACAAAAACGATTAGATACTTGTACCATTAAAGCCACAAACATACCAGACTCATGAGCTCTCTTCAGTTGCTCCCCTGTCCTCATCGGCCTCAATGCCCCACCAACGAGTGGCGTCTGGTCGCCCAACGTATCGGGTGGGAAGGGCGCAACATGAAGTCGATTGACCACCTGTCGCCGTGACGCAGCGATCGAGAGGCTGTTCCACCCAGCACCACCCGCAGGTGTGGCGTTCCAGGATCTTGATCAACAACATCAATCATAAGGTGACTCGAGGCTCCCATAAAAATGCAACGTAGTGTGTGTGTGTGTAGCTTTACAGTGTGAACTTAGGGCCTGAGAGACTTCTCCAAGGATTTCTCAAGCAAGGAATGGTTGCAGGCCTCCAGCCCATGACTTCCACTTAGAAGCGAGCCTTGGTGAAAAGCGGGAAAGCGAGAGTGTAATGGCCTCGATGCCCTGCTCGCCCCGTTTCAAACCAGGTCTAGAACTGGAATGTCCCATCCACAGTAGCCCTCTCGTTCATTGGTGAAAACAAGAAAATACCGTCAACATCGGTCCAGTCCTCTCGTCCTTGGGAGGGCAATTTAAATTCTAATTTGTTACTACTAGTAAGGCACCTGTTCCTACGTACTAGCGAGGCACTTGTTAGTTTCTATTGTTTCTTTCCAAGTCGTCCCGTCCCTGACGTTGCTGAGGTGACTGCGCTGCTCCTCTTGTAGAATCCGCTCCTTGACCTCCTCGCCTCGGCCCCGCGAAGCCTTCGCGCACGGAAAGGAGTCCTCCGTAGGGGTGAAGCGATTCATCTGCCCAAAGAAGCCTAGAACCGGTCATGTAAAATGTTGATCGATGAAACTGGTCCGCGTGGAACGGGGAGTGGAAACCTCTTCATCTGGGTGGGCTGACATATCATCCAGAGTCATTGTGGCATCATCATGAATCAGGAATGATTAGTCCTGACTGCTAGACCTGTAGACTTCGCGCTCGTTGGATCCTGCACCTCCTTTTGGAGGTGACCCAGAATATGAAGAAGCTGTGATCCTGTTATTCTTGACGTAAGCAACGTGCAAACAGTTGGAAGGTGCAGTGATGAATCGCCAGACGTATACTCCGCTGCAGACGGTCCGTTGGACCGTGAAAACCCACTATCGTGCAGCGGACCGAGAAAGAAAACAAATCGTCCTTCAGGGTGCCAAACCCATAGGGTCCATGTTCGTTTCTTGTTACTAGTAGCTACTTGCTCCTAGTAGTACGGCCAGGAGCCCCGTTCATAGCGTCCGATTGCTCCGTTCGTAGTACGGCCAGGATCCCCGTTCATAGCGTCCGATCGCTCCGTTCGTAGCGATGCCAGGAGCCCCTTTCGTAGCTTCTTGTTGCTTGTGAGTTTCCAGCATCGTCTCATGATTTGCGTTCGTATCGTCTCCCAAGTTGTGAGGCCGGCCGGCCCCAATTCAAAAAAAGGCGAAGGCCCTAAACCTTCAACCCCTTTGGCTAAAGATCTCTACCTGGGCTTCCCAAAACCTGCCCAAACGCCACTGTCGCAATCGCTCTGCCCTGCTCGCCATCGCCACTTGCGTAGCGACCGCGGTGTAGCGACCCTGGTCGTACGTGGCTGTGTTCACAGATCCGACCCTTAGCGCCCCTTTGGACCACTCGATCTTCTCATATCATATAGGTTCATATCCATATATATTCATTAAAAACATGGTTGCGTTTTTCACTAAGTGAGACAAAGACCTGCCTGGAAGAGAAATACCTGGATCCTCCTTTCGGCGGAAAAAAGTGCCGGACCTCAATCCGGCAAATTTTTCCGCCGGATTCCGAAAAAAACGCCGGAGGCCTGAAAAAACATCCGGATCCAAGATTCTGAAAAACAGAGATGACAAAAGGTTGGATCATACACAAGGAAATTGCCTTTGCGCCGCGAGTAGTTTTTCTGGAGCACACTCGAACCTTCCCGTTCCCATTGCCCTCGCCCATCTTCCGAATGGCCTAAGAGCAGAACCATCACAAAATATAAGCATTTTGTGCCCAAGCAAAGACTTCCAAGAAGAAACCAATGAGCATGTGGCAATGAACTCATCTTTCTCTGCAACCCTGTCTCTAAAGTGTTTGTTTACAAAGTGGGTGGGTTGCTCTCCATGATTCTTATGCTTCTCAATGTTTCTTTAAAGCTTGCCTCAGGACGGCCCCGCAATAAAGTAGCAGAACTCATGGTTCCTGTCAAAACTCTTCTCTGAAAAACTGTTCAAAGTCAAAGCCTGCAGAAGACTCAGTCCCAAAAAATACGTCGGAATTACGGGAAATTACGCCGGAGTTACGGGAAATTACGCCGGAATTACGGCAAATTACGCCGGAGTTACGACGTGCCATTTTTTGACAACTCTCTGCAAAACATTGAGATTCTGAACAACACATGTTCCACAGCCCAAAACTTGTCCGGTGGGCTCTGCAAGCCTGCGCAACTAAAACTATATCCCAGCGCCCCGACATCCTGAAACAATGGGAGTACATTTTTGCCTATGCTCTTTCAGCTTAGGTACGCTCACTTGGGTCTTTCAACAGGTGCATCGCACCGTACCGGCTTCATCCGATTTCATTTAGAAGATCACCTAAACGGATCTGGTTGATCCAGTGTGAACCATGCTGAAACCGGTGGAATGAGAAAACAGCGGAACAGGCAAACGAGCACACTTTGCAAACAAAATCACTGCATCAGTAGTGGGTTTACCTTCAAAGAAATGCAAACCACAAAGAATGCAAAGCCTTGAGAATCCACATAACGTGACTTGGAAAAAGTGCCGGACCAAATCCAGAAAAACGCCGGAGTTGGAAGTCCGGCGCCGGACCCTGTAAAAGTGCCGGACTGAAGATCTAGGTATAGACCAGTCTACCCATTGGCTAGGGGCGGTCTCCTTCTTGAAATGGACACCCACAATGGTTCCACCTTGGTCTCCCTACTCCATCTCGATCCGGGTCGTCCAACGCGAGCCCCCGGCGGGTTGGGTGTCCCGTGCTGAGCTCCATCGCACAGATCTCACCCTGAAGATCCTCCCAAAGTCGCGGGGAGCATGGAAGGAGATCCCAGAATCGGGATTGCCAAACAAGTCCAGCATCATGCTCATCTTTCAATGTGGAAATGTTCATCTATATACTCTGTCTGTGCACATGTGCCACTGAATTGGTTTTGTGTGTGTGCGCACTGTCAGTGGAGTGGCAAATGCAAACAAACAAGCCTAACACACCAAGCATAAACGCACACCACTGCCTCCAAACACACCCTCTGGGTGCTGTTGAGGTTTGCAATAAGCGCCTGCAAACACAATCAACATCGTCTCAAAAGCTGTTGCTCGCGGAAGTATCATGTTTTCTCTATTACTAACACTGGAGTCACTGCGAGTTGGCCAGGTTTGGCCGGTGACTTGTGTGAATTGGCCCGTAGCAACTGCCGTCAGACACCTCTGTCAAAACCGCTGGCGGCGCAGACGGCGTAGGGCTGACGTCGATGATCTCCCGCTGCTTCGAGGCGAAGCGGGATTCGTCATCAGCGTATCTTCTCGACATGGCGGGGGGAGTTCGGTGTGCTAAAAACCAGTGTTTGATTGGGACTATTTAGTGATTGTCTTTCAAAGTGTACATATAAGATATATAATGATATATGGACCGTCACTTTGGATGCTTGGAAAGGGCAATTGTTTGGCAACGGGATCCCAATTTCCGTTTCCTTTTGGGCGAAAAGGCAGCGCACATGCCTCGCGGCAAACACCTCTGAACTCCTCCTCAGCCATGGCACCTGTTTCAGTGTGGAAAGTGTGGAACATTGGTTTTTGCTGGTAAGCAAGGCTGCAGAAGACCTTCCTCATCCAGGCATCCAGCAAACCGACAAACGAACCAAAATACAGAACCCGCGGAGAACCAAACCAAACCAAAGAATCAAAGTTGTCCCTATTCTCGTGCTGCTTAAAACTGTCGTGCAAATTGGTCTTCCCATCTGGCTGCGCGGATCACAGCCTCGACGGCGCCCTTCGGTCGGCGCAGGCACATGGCTTTGGCCGCTCTCTTTGGCCGCTCTTCGGTTGACAGGAAAGTATTGGAAAGTGTGTAGAGTCCAAACAACAAAAGAGTCCAAGAAGAATCAGAATTTTCCATATCCGCCAGAAGCGGGATTTGCATGTAAAAAAGGGCCGGCGTCCAGTCCATTTCCATCGTCCGTTTTTCGCGTAGACCGTAGACCATCGTCATCATGCGGCAATTCATGGAATCTTGGCGATCGAGGTGTCCTCCCCCACACGACCAGACGATGGGACGAGGGGGAGCATCTTTCGTGATCGACTCGTTCTGAAGAGTTGGCATCCAACTGGCTCCTATAGTTCCAACGTGCTCCTAAACTGCTAAGCTGCCAGTTGGGGAAACCCACCGTTTGCCACTCTGACTCGGTGAAACACGGTGAAACATAGTGAAACCTTGCATGACCTGGCACACCTCAGGCCCAAGCCTGTTGTGGTTTGACCGTCTGACCGGTTCTGCGTGCGTTCGAAATTGTCCGGTTCAGAGGTCATCAATCAGACATAATCAGACCATGATGCGCTTTTTGTCTGACCTCTTTTGAGCCCAAAGAAACCGAATCGCTTGTGTGTTCAATTCCCTTCCAGACCTCAGAAGGTCGACACAAGGTGGTGCTGTACAATATGTACAGAGGAAGAGAAAGAAACCATTCCACCGCTCCCAAAGCGATCCGGAAGTTCTGCCACTCTAAAGAACGAGAAGACACAGTGAAACAAGCAAAAACCAAGAAACAAACGGTGAAAATAGGCAGGCCCCACATCCGTCGTCCGTTCATTTCATATCAGCAAAAAACGTGCAAACCTCCAAACCGTTCGGCGTCCACCCTGTCGATAGACTAGCTTCCCGGATTTTCGATACACTCCACGCACATCTTAGTACAACAACAAAACCGATTCATTTTTGCCAAAGAAAACCTGAATAGTAGACAATAGTTGGTCTTCTTTGTGCATTCAAAAGTGTTTCTTGGCCATGGCTCCACGTCTACCACCTGGGACCCGCTTCGCCCGCTTCGCGGTCCCTGCTTTTTGCCGCGGGCACCGGTGCGAGGTCCTGCCACGTGGTACGTCCGACTGCCACATGGTACGTTCGGCGTTCTTTCATCTGCGCGGCTACCTCCCAGCCAAAACCATTAAGTCAGATTCATCTCCTTGAGACACACCAAACAGCCTCAGGGGACCAAAGCATCTTCCTGATGTTTCCTTCAGGCTCACGTCATGCGCGTTCATGAACTTTAAAAATCTTTCAAGCATGTCAAGAATGCAACGGACAAGGATGACAAGGGACCCCCCCTGCCAATCTCCTACTCAACTGGCCTATTTCATCTCGCGGAATTACAATATTTCGAGGTTGTTGGGTCGCAATTTGCTATTTCAATTCTGAAACAAAGGTCAGGTCGATGAAATAACAAAAACAGTGGGTGTTGGGGTGCGGCATGGCGTGGCTGGAGAGCGGCGGCGCAGCGGGTGTTTGGACAACCCAGAAAAATATCAAAAAAATCCTTGCAACATCTCCATCAAACAAGCCTGTCTTGAGCGAGAGAGGTAAGCTGCAAGTGTGAGCTCCATAGCCCGTTGCCCCCAGGAAAAAACTTTTTGTCACCTGAAAAGTGTTTTTGGGCCGTATACCGTATACGTCATGTTTGTGTGGGGGGGGCTTCCACGCCCATACATTAGCCTCGCATAAAGGCGCATAACAAAAGTCATGCGGCTCATCTGTCTCAGGATTTGGAAAATCCCCGCCCTGAGAAAACTCTGAGAGCAAAAAACATCGTGGCCAAAAAGCTTTTTCTCGACAATGGCTCCCCCAATGGGCTCAGTGCCGCGCCAGCAAAAATGGAAAAAATACTTGTCGTAGTGGGGGCCAACCATATCGCGATCTCACCCACAGTATTATTTCAAAACTTTTGGTCGTAATTTCAAGTGACGTCGGCTGAGCTTGCTATACTTCGACCAGATTTCATCCGATGTCCATTCTGGTCGCCAGGAGTGTGGTTGAAGGACTTTGATCATTCTTGATCGCCAACCCACCAAGAGCACCAGCAAGGCCTTTCCACCCGACCCCACCGGGCCGCGTTCGCTGCCACCACCCCGGTTGGGCGCAACCCGGCCGGCGCTCCTGCCGCAAGCTGCCCTTGCGCCACTTCGGTCTTCGGCCAGGCCCACAGGTTTGAGCCTCAACGAGAAGGCCCGGAGCGTCCGGAGGCGGCAAGACGTTGTTCGGTGTTTGGTGTCGTACGTCGTGGTAAACGGTGTTGTCGCAGGTCCGTTTTGGTCGGTAGAGTGGGCCAATGGCACGACGTCGTCTTCTGGAACACCGAAAAAGCTGAGCGAATGAAGTCAGAGTGCGAGAGATGTCATGACCAAATGTAAGGTCAGGGATTGTCGCATTCGGCTTCATCGCCGTTGGTGAGTCACACCGGAGGATAATCAACAAATTGTTCCCGGAAAGGCTTGCAGAACTTTCAGTGTGAGATACACCAAAGTCACAAATCCTGTCTCAGTGACAAGCAGAGAAGCAAAGGGTTGCTCAGTGACAAAAATGGTGACCTTGCTTAGCGTTGGTCAAGGTGGATTTGGCCATTCCATGGAGGACCAATGGGACCGGTCCATGAAATCTTCTCCTCCTACCACTCCCGTCCAGAAGATTTCAGGTCCAAGGGTTTGGTCAAAGGGTTCTTCCATTCCCACCCACCAAAAGGGTGATCTTCCGATCGAAAAACGTGATACATCGTGGGACCGACCGAAGCGTCTGACCGAGAAAGAATACCCAGTGGATGATCGTGTAGAGTGTAGAGCTGGGATCCAAGGACCAAACCGACCAAACCGACCACCCTGGTGACCTTACTGGTGGCATCTGGTGACCTTCTATTGGCAGAATCCGCTGGGAGCCTGGGTGTTTTGATGGAAGGGTCCAACTGATGGAATGGCCACGTCTCCATGAAGTCTCCACGTCTCTCCAAAGCCTGCAGCCCATGGTACACCGATCGTCTTCCCACACGATCCCAGGTAACCTTGCGCACGATCCCAGGAAACCAGTGGTTGATATCAAGATCTCGATTTACATCCCATTACAAACCTTTAAAAAAATGCGCAGGTGTTCCGCGCAGTGAGTTTGGGGCGACTGAGCCCTGTCGTTGGGGAAGACTTCATATCCATCTTGTGGACCACTCAAGCAAAAAAATACAGCATGCATGAGTTTGGATTGAGCCTTCCCAACGACCCACAGCTCCCACGCAGGAACTGCGCCTCTTCCTGCCGCAGCTCTTCTTCCACTTCCCGTCGCACCCGCTCCTCGCGCGGATGGAAAAAGAGCAGTGACTTAAGGATAACCAAACCTAAGCACCTCAGCATATCCGTGAGAGATTGTGTCCTCTTTCGAACTCATTTCAGTCACCCTGGGCACCGAGAGGCCATCGTATCTAGCAACAGTATTCTTCGGTGATAAGAGCTTTGGAGAATCTCCCAATGTCTGTTTGTTCAGCATGAAACGGTCTTCACAGTAGGTAGGTGAGCTCTATCCCAAAACGCTTTTTCGAAAAGCAAGAAACACCACGCAGCGGAGGAACAAAACTGGGACTCTGTTGATCTGGGGATCACCTGACAAAACGATCTGGAGATGCCGCCCTTATGTTCGCCCAGCCTTGGTGGATCCGGGCGGGCGGGCTGGTCCCACGCATGTTCGCTGGTACAGTAACCAATGGTTCCAAAAGCGTACGAACCGTACATCGTCAAAACCCCGGTGTGCTGAGTGGGTTGTGGCTGCTTGGGATCCACTTGGGGAGAACGGTCCAGTGACCTGCCTGGGAGGTCCACCTTGGAGTGCCGATTTCGCCACGCTCTTGCAATGGATTGAAGCGAGACGTGAAGGAGGGCCACTTGGTGTGGGAGAACGGTCCAGGAACCTGCAAGGGCCTGGCTGAATGGGTTGAGGCATCTCTTTCCAAGGTCCACTTTTGCAGTGATCAGTGATCTCAGAATGAATGGCACAAGACCAAATGGATCTTTTAAACATCTTGAAATTGAACGAATTTGCGTTGGCATCCCTTGCAAGTAGCCCATGGGTCTATCAGTCAAGTAGGCTTGAGGGTGGCCACTCGAGTTCGGCGCTTTTTTAGATGTGCGGCGGTGGCTGTAACGTGAAGCCATGGCGACGCAGTCACGTCACCAGAACGCTTCGGCCAAACCAAACAGCACATGCTTTCGGGCGTTTGGCTGGTGAAGAAACAAACTGTCATCAGCCTCGTCTGCTGGATCGAGACAAAAAAACAAAATCAAGAAAACAACATGTCCTCCACTAGAAAGTCTCGAATGTCCGACAAATGTTCGCGAAGCCACGGGACCTCTTTCGGTCAGCCCCGACTTTCCAGCAGAACGCACGTGAACCGCCCATGAAACGGCACTGTAAGTGTGAACAAGCGAGAACTGGGTGGGCACAGGGGGACGCTGCTTACACTGGACACCGAACGGCTAACACAGAATATGGAAAAAGTATCTGTCAAGCAATTACACTGTTGGTGAGACAAAGAGCATACTGAAGGCTTAGGTTCTTCTGTGCTTGTCAGGATTCGGTTGTCCATTGCCACCAGCGAGGAATTGATGTGCCCCAGATGAGATGACACGCTCTAACACACCCGGAGTGGAGAGCTACAGAAACCGACCCACAGGTGAGGTGTCCATGTGGGCTGCTTTATTCCATGTACCATGAAACTTGGCACAAGTAGCGCGTGCGCGTACGCAGGCCTACATGAAGGTGCTGGCACACTTCTTTGTGGCAGATCACAGTTGTTCAAGTGCCCACTGGTAGTCTAGAAGTCTAGAAGCACATCTCCACTATACAATGCGAAGGTTTTGATGTTTACAGTAATCTTACCCCAATCTTCAAGTGAGGTCCATCGGTCATGAGCTTTGGTCGAGCCATGAGGATCCGGGTAGTTTCTTGAGGGTGCTTATCTGGCCTCAAAGATCATTGCCTTTCAGCAGTTCCCAAGTTGCAGGGAACCCGATTGCCACTATAAATGTGCCGCAACCGCAAAGACTGTCCATGAAAAGCAACGACAGGACAAACAGGTCAGCTCGGACAGGAACACGGACAGACATTGGTTGTCTCAGCCAGGCTTCCGCCCACTTTCCGCAAGGAAAAAATCTACAATCAACCACTTCACAGGACCCAGAAAGGCCTATCAATTAATCAGAAACAACCAAATAGAAATCCGTAGGATTTGTTCGCAGGAAAATAAGCATGGTTTTCACATGTTTCACCCCTGTAGACAAAGTCATAGAAATTAAAGACCAACAACATACGCATGAGCTCACCACCGACAGCACCGTCTTTTTTCTCGATGAGCTCGTGCCCCGAGTTGCGAGTTGCTAGCCTTTCTGTTTGGTGGGAAGATTGATATCAAGCCATATCAAGCCCATCAGTTCTTCCATCATGTTGCAAAGATGGGGTTATAATACTACCAGGATTATGTTGTCCTTCCTGTGTTGTGTTTATTTCTTCGACTTTTGACAAGCAAAGGAACTCGTCCGATGGCTTGGAGTGACCCGACTCGTCCTAATGGCAAGGAAGACGGTCATCCCCAAAGAACTGCTGTTTGTGATACTTGTGCACTGAGAACATCCACATGTCTCATACACAATTACAAAGCTCAGCTCTTTGTTCTTGCAAAAAATCCCTCTTCAACGGTCAGGCCCCCTTTTCGTTCGCGGGGGGGTGCGGGGAGGCGGTGTGCACTGCAAGGTCGCCCAAACACAGGCGATCAGCTGAGCTGTCCGAAAGTCGATCACTGACTGACGAAAAGTGCCACACGTGCGAACCATGCCCTTGAAAGCCACTTTTGCGCGCCTGTTCAGATTGAGATATGTAATGATATATATATATATATATAATATATATATATAGATGTTCAGATTTGCTTTATGATGACTTCAAGAAAATACCGTATGTTTCTGCACATGGACCTGTGTCATGGAGGGAGTCATTGGGACCCAACTCTACGCCGGACTCGGACTCGTAAACCCTCACTACAAGCATGGTCCGAGACTAGTAAACCATCGCTTGAGTCTGTGCTGTTCAACCGGAGCAATCTGGACCAGTTTACCCCGTAGACGTACAGATCACACAGGTCCTGCACTCAGACGGAGTGTGGCACGTCCCTTGGATGACACTTGTCCTCGCACGTGTGACACTGATGCGTTTAATCCTTTTTATTTTTCTGTCGTGCTTCGGAAACGCGAGCTTTGAGCTCGATGTTTGTGTGGATCATGGAGGTTCTGAATCAAACATTCTCAAGACGCAAGTCTTTATTCGGTGATGGTGCAACAAGAATGCACCAACAACACATACAGTAAGTGTTCACAAGCACACAAACAACTTCGGCTGTTCACAGCTACGGGTAAAGGACCCTTTACGAACGGGGAAACACTTCAATGGTGTTGGAAGGAACTGTCAAACGAGACACTCTCTTTGTGGCTCAAAAGCCACCGATGGATTTCGGCCTAAAAGCTCATAAGCTCAGGAAGTCTTCCCGCAACACCTGGATAGAGCTTAGGTGTTGCGGAGGTTCTTCCCTCGCCAATCCACCACTCTTCCTTCAACACCCGCCGTGATCGGCTCAAACCTACCTGCCGTGGCTAGCGCAACTGAGTGGTCGCGCCCAGTCAGCAACTCCAAGGCAGCGGCTGTTTTCAACAAGCGCAAGTTGGTGCCGAGATCATGGGTATGGCCGGCTGCACAGCATTAGGCATTCTTGACAAAAGACAACCCAAACTTCACACAGAACCTTTCTTGGTGTGCAACATGCGGAATGCTCGCATAAATCATATATAAACCTGTATAAAATATCTTTATTGAAAACGTCTCACTCGGCCGGCCGAGATTAGAGATTACTGTTCTCTCCTGTGCAATTCCAGTAATCCATCCGGGTCCCCCCTCAGACGTCGCACGGGCGGAGAACCCCCGGGAGGCGCGCCTGAACTGATATGATAGAGACCTTGCATTACGCCCAAGTGGAGGCCTTCAAAATTTCCTCACCTGGCAACCATTTTGGGGCGCTTGCAAGGCAGGCCAGAGAGACTTGCAAAATGTAATGTCACAAATTCGCCTTTTGAAAATACACCTCCCAGTTCACCAACGCCCAGCTAAGGTCCAGCTTCACAAGTCTCCCAGTTTAGGACCTGACAATTTTGGAAACACTTCGTTTGTGTTGCAGAGGACTGAGCTCAATCTTCTGCAGCAGTTGCAGGTTGACTAGCAACGCAACGGCTGGATGCAGGCGTGTTCGCCTGGAGTTTATGCAGGTTGGAGTTGGGTGGATGGGCATGTCCAGTTCACTATTTAGCATTTGGTGTTCTTGATTATTCCTTTTCTTCACATCCACCAACTATCCCCTGATCGAATTGAAGCTTTCTGTCTATCGCTGTGACATGGTATGCCACAGCACCGCAGCACGCGTTCATTCTGTCAGCAAACAAGCAACAAACCACGAAAAGCACCTCATGAGTTTGGACACAGCTGACAGACCACTCGACCACCCCAGGTCTTTCGGTGGAGGGACGACGAGACTTTGCAAAAGCAGTTCACCCCGCTCAGAGGTGGGGCGGGCCTGGCCCGCGTCGCTCGGCGCTCTTTCATGCCGCGCTTCGATGCCGGTGGCCAAGATCGATGTGGATGTAGTATGGGCTTCGTTCATTTTTGTGGCTGGGGAAACCCCCATCATGGTGGGATCATGCTGCCCATCTTGCTTGAAAACGTCTTTGACTGGAAGCGTGGGATCGAACCTGAAAACTGCTTCCTTTGAGGATGTTCTCTTGGGCTCTTTGTCCAGATTCGATGGTTCACTTCCTTGGTTTTTTGCCTGTCTCGTAAAAACTGTTGAGCAGGTCGCCCATCAAAAACATAGGATCTATCTGTGCACAAAGGCAGGCAGTGAACAATTTTCACCAGCTTCTTCTTTGAGCGTCCCTCTAGCGGTGTGGTCCTTCCACCACACCAGGCGGTGGTGAACACACCACGGACTGGGCGGTTCTTCCGTGACCAGAGGGACCGAGCGGAGGACCCAAGAAAGGGATGAAAAGAGTAGAACACATTCCTCATCGCAGTAACGTTCCTCATCTCAACGTGTCTACGTGATCCTCCGGTGATCACGTATCCTTCACCGTGAAGCGGCGTCTCTTCTTGTTCGGCGGTTCTTTCTTGTGGAACAAATCGATGAATTGGCTGACCCTCTTGGAGAAGGGGAAGGGTTGATGGATTGATGGATCTATCATGGTTCCAGAATGTTCCAGCCATCTTTTTTGCCAAACTGTTGCTTCCTTCTCTGGCAGGAGTCCCGCCCTCCATGGAAGGAATTTCTTGCTATGCACAAAGAATCATAAAAGCAGCCCCAAATCTTCCCAACTCGCCGGTTTTCGGCCCTGAAGTTGAACAGTGGATCGTGCTCTCTTGCAGCTGGGCGACACAGAAGCCCATTGATGTTCGCAAGAGCTGCCATACCTGTGGCGCCTCAGAACACCGCTCCAACCCTTCCCCGAAGCTTGTTCCGGAGGGAGTTTGTCGTAAGCAAAGGCAGGCGGAATAAGACGATCTGGGACCCCAATCAGTTCCGAAGCCTTGAAAATGGGAGCCTCATTCAGGAAGAAAAGGGAAGCACTGGCAACACTGCCCGTGCAGTTGCTGGATCATACTGGCATTTCGTTTCTCCATCGATGATGCGATCGGATCTGCTATGGCCTGTATCCGAGTCCACCATCTGAGAAGGGAGAGAGCCAACTCTCTGGGAGTCCAATCTATCTGATCGAATCCTTTTTCTGAAGCTCTTTCGGGGAATTCGGTCTCGCGAAGATCTCGCAAGTGGGGCGGTGTAAGAAGTCTGATGTGCTGTTTGCAGGCGATGTGTCGAAATCTGTGGAGTTGTTGGTTTCCACTAGCTTTCAGGGCCTTGCATTCGAGGATGCGCCCTACTTGGATTGGATGAGTGGATGCGTCTTTTTGACAAAGCTTTACATCGGAAGGGACAGGACGACCCAGAGCATCGGAGCCTGTCCTCGGCCAGGCGCAAAACACGTCTGTGGTCGCTGCCAGGACTGAAGCGGCCGGGCCAGCCGCGACCAGATACGTCTTCATCAACCAGTGGAACAGAGCGACCAGTGGAACCATGGAATCTCAGATCACACACTGTATTCATCTGTGTTCGTTTGTTTTCCAAATGAAATGGACAGACCCACTGGGAAGAGTCTATGCGTGGTCATCGAGCTTCATTCCTATGTCCGTCATAACACATTCTTGTGTTGGGGGCATGTGGATCTTTCACCTGAGCTTCCATGATTTTTGCTAGATCTGAGGCTGGCGCCAGCCCGGGGCACCCATGGAACCTGGGACAAAAAGACAAAAAAAAAGCCAAGACAACCAAGGAGACCGGATAGCTTCTGACATTCAGGCCCATGGTTTTCTGTATTTGAATCGTAGAATGGAAGTAAACATGATTCCCAAGCCTTGTGGGCCCTTGGTTCCAGCTAAAACAACCGTGGGGCTTGCCAAAGCCTAATATGGGGGGCCCTCCCCCCATGAGTGCGCCTGCGACGTCTCAGCTTGGCGTGCCTGGTGCCACAGGATGAGCGCGAAAGACCGAGTGCAAAGAGGAAGGCAGTGGAGGTGTTGTATCCCAAAATCAACTTGTAGATGCGAGAGATATCACAGGATTGCGTCAGTGAAATATAAAAAGGTAGTACAAGTATATGTGAGTCCTCCATACCTTTTCGACCTTTTGTACAAGTCATGTGTGTGTGTGCAAGGAGACCCTGGCTTATCTGGCTGTGGGACCTTCATGCGGGATGTCCCTTTGTTAAACTGCTACAGGCAAAAATAATGAGATCAATAAGCCTTATCAGGTTCGTTTGGAAGAAAAAGACTGAAACACACAAGACGTTGATCCTTTAAACTAGGTAGGTGGCTCCTACTTATGAGGAAAAATAAAGCTTTCTCTGCCAGCTGCATGCATCTTTGCTTGGGAGTTCAAACTCGTTGCCTTAGGGCTCCTATACTACTATACTATGATTTGGATTTCCATAGATCAAGAAGTGTCCTGCGGTTTGAAGTTCCACAACTAATCTACAGTATCTAGATGTGTTTGTACTACTGTATATAATCGATGATGGTGCTGCTGGATTTAACTTGATAAACTCGTAGTTGATGCCAACAGGCGACACCGCAGATTTGTGCGACCCCAGAAACGTGCATATAAAAATTAATGATCCAACCAAACCCATCCGACAGGATCACCAGGGCTCACAAAGCTAAGTCTGACTTCTGGAACGCGTAACGGCTCCGGTTGGATCCGGTTTTCCGGCGCCTGAGCAAGCTGCTGGTGGAGTAGCTGTTGCCGGAGGGCAGCTTGACTGACCAGTGCCTGTATCAGGAGATCCGAAAACACAAGAACCCGATCCGATTTCTCTGAACTCTTCATGTCCCAAGGACTAGATTCGGAGAAGAAAGTGCACAGAATCGCCCAGAATCCAGTCATCTCTAAAATGATCTGCCTCCGAACAGTTTGGAGCCTTCAAAAACGGCTACGCCTGGCGACCCTCCTCAAAGCGATTTGTGCTCAAATGGAGTCCAAACAAAAAGATCCTGTGCCAAAACCCTCAGGAAAACCTCTGAGTCTTTTCAAAAAGCAAGAAGACCCAGGACCTCGGGTCTGCTAAACCAATGGATCGCCGGACCTCTGCATTGATCTGCTGGTTGATGTGGTTGCACTGCATGGCCAAGGCCTCGAGGCCAGTCCAACTCAACTCACCCAGTTTCACCGATAATGAACTATGTAAGAAGCGTGAAAATTGCCGGATCAAAGGAGTCAGTTCAAGTTTGGGGCTACAAATGTGTCGTTTTCCTAGCCACATAACTCGTGCTGAAGTCTTCAGCAAGAATACAGGCGAGGTCCAACAACCTCCCAAACATGGATAGAGGAGTCGTGACAGGCTACTGCATCAAATGGGAAAGGGAACGTCCCTCCATGTCCATCGAACATGGCAGTGGTGAGTGGTGAGTCTCTCCTCTCCGGGGCAGTCTACTACACTAGTCCACCGAGCGAAACCAGGCAGCCCCACATTCACGGACGCGCGCAGCTTCCGCAGCTCAACCTGGCAAAGGAAAGATCGGTCCAGCCATGGCAAGACGGGTCAAAAGGAAAAACAAGACCTCAGGACCTTTCTTCCATCTGGCTATGGGTGGTAGGGATTTGCGGGGAAGACTATCGAGGCCTTCGTTTTTGGCGCTTAACAGCTCATGATTCCATGAATTGCCGAGGGGTACTGGTCACAACAAACGTGACAGACTTGCTATCGATGTCCCGTATCTCCTTTTCAGCCTTCTTTGTGGTGGGCACAGAAAAGAAAACTGGGTCTCCTCCAGGTTCACTTCAAGGGTTTCGGCGGTGTACTCTATCCAGCTCTACCGTGTTCTATCCGTTTCTTGTCCTACTTTTACGGGAAGAGTAAGGAAGAGTACATGAACCATGAAGACCTTTCTTAGGGGTTTCTGACAAAGTTCCTAGCACTCATCTCGCAGGCCCCAACTGTCTAATCCCACTCTTTCGTGCATGTGCAGGGCGGTATGTGCACTTGTTTCTTACCATTGGACATGGCATACTCACTTAGGCCAAGTAGACTCGTGGTCCGTTAAATCCAAAAGGCGTCAATTCTTGGACCTTCAGCCCACCCCTTGTCTCCAAGCAGCCACGAACCTCTTTTGTCACGAGGCTGGAGAGTCTGGAATCTGGAACAACGAATTTTTGAAGTGTTTGGTACAAAAACATCAAGCCGCCTGTAAATGGCCCTGGCGTCAAAATGTGCCCACCAATCGTCCCCACGCGGTGCCCCAACGGAAGGACGAACGCATGGCCACGACCAGAAAATACCGCACGCCACCACCGCCCGTGGAACGGCCGCCTCCAGTAACGGGTCGTACCTGGCAAGTCAAGGCCAAATCTCATGACCGCTTTTCAGCCCTCAGTACCTCCTCACGGTAGGATGCTGACCCGAAAAAGGTTCAGAATGATGTGTTTACATACTCACACATATTTTAAACGCTATATATATATGATGTTTTGTGAGTACAATTATATACACACTCAGTGGCGACAGCGGGGAAGCCCAAGTTTTGGTGGTTCGTGGCAACAAAGCTGGCCCCCAACATCGCACAAGGCAATGTCTTTTTGGGAAAGCATGGCTGGTCTGCAAGTACATCGCCTGTTGCCCTGCCTTTGCATGCATTGACAAAAACTCAGGAGCGGCCCCGCTTACGGCAGTCGGTCGTAGTATTCACTGGGATGGACAAGCCTGTGGTCCGGAAAGCGTTGGTATTCACAGGCGGGGCGCCGCCCATCACGAGATTGGATGGCAACCCAAGGATTCTGAGTGGAGACCAGTAGTGTGGGGAGGGGTCTGCCGTGGTCGCAGCCACAGCATCCACATCTTCCATAGTCCCAGCTACATTCTCCCCAAAACGGTGTTTTTACACCAATGCCAGCGCTCCTGGGATTTTGCTTCTTATCATAATTTTCAACCTACGTAATCCCGAAAACCTGATCTGCTGCTCTCTCACTCTTTGGACCCATGTTTGCCTTGGCCCCGCGTGCGGCCCCAAGAGTCGTGGAGTTTACAGCATAGTGACCCCGACTTTGTGGGTGTGGGCCCCCTGTGTGGCCCCTTGCCCAGGAGGGGCCCCGCTTACCCGTTTGTGAGTTACAAGCCTTTCATCAACTGGTGGGGATCCATTACGTGAGGGAAAAGCCATGTATTTGATGAAGGGCAGGGGATTGGTAGCTCCGCCCCCGCACCTTGCTTCCACACGGTGCCCGTGAACTAGCACCATGCTTGCAGTGTTGCAGCTGTTGGGGTTGCACTGCACCAAGTAAGCGACTCTGCAGCGCCAAAATCAAGGCCCTAGAACCTTGAGGAAAGAAGCTTCGGTGTGGCGTGGAGGGCCCTCGAAGTGCCACGAAGGTGCCACCGGATGAGACCGGGGACAGCGCTAGTGATGTGCAACTTTGTGCCAGACGCGTGTGGCAAAGTTCTATACCAGCACTCGCTCAAAGATGGACTCTTCATGGGCCCAAAACTGGATCCATTTTCTGGCCACCAAAGCGGGGCCGTTACTTCTTCCGAAAGCTACCGCCCTGCCAGATTTGGGGCCCCTTTTTTGGGACCATGAAGCTGTGCCTGTGCCGATCCGAAAGATTGGACCGATCCGAACAATTTGTGAGCTGCGTCGGGCAACACGGCGGCAACATGTTTAAGTTTGCACACACTGTATATAGCTAAAGCATACAGGAACTCTTCGTGTAGCTACAGGTCTTTGACCAGTCTCGTGTGTCTCAAAGGTTGCATACCAAAAACCGGAGGGTCAACCGGGACTCACATACGTGATGAGATCCTACAAAGCCAGGTGGGGAAAGCAACCCTAGTCAATATGAAGTTGCCTAAGAAATCAGGAAGATCTTGAAGATTTCTACTATCTATGAAGATGTCCACTGCTATCTATCTATCGATCGATCGATTTCTCTTTATTTACTTCTTTACGTCTTTCTTCATGTCTTTCTTTATGTATTTATTTCTGTCTGTCGTACTTTCTTATTTTTTATTTATATATTTATTTATTTCTCTGAGTGTCTTTTTCATTCTTTGTCGTTCTCTCTTTATGTGTCTTTCTTTCGTTATTTCTGTCGTTTGTTTCTTTCTGCCTTTCTATTGTTCTTTCTATCGATCATTATCTATATCTAGTAGACTACGGGCGCAATGTTGCCTGGAAACGAAATGAGGCTCCTTCCCCCCCTTCCATTTTAGTCACACAGCCATGCAATGACAATGTTGTGAAACCAATGACAATGACGCTGCAGCCGATGACACTGTTGTGCAAGCGATTACATTGTCCAACCCTCTTTCACGTGTTCATCACATGGCCATGCAATGACAAAGTTGCAAGAACGATGACAATGTTGTATGCAATGTTGTGATGATGATCATGTTGTGCTAACGATGATAAGGTTGTGATATTCTGATCATATGAAACGCCCTAGTATAAAGTAAATGACGATCATTTTCAAAAGGACTCATATGGATGAACACGTATGAAAGCCCTCCGAAAACACCAAGTAAATGATCAATGTGATGTTGATCCCTTGGAGATTGGACTGGTGTCAGCTGCATCACATGGAAAATCGACTCGAGGACCTTCCGCAAAACAGCCGGCCCTTGGTGGATATCGTGGTCAGGGTGTTTCTGCAGCTTTCCCAATTCACCCACCCAGGGGGCACATAGGAACAAACCGATGCCGATGCCCCAATCTGGAAGATGGGATGACCAACCTTTGACATGCTCGGAAGATGACAAAAAATGACTCCTTTCAGATTTGCCATCTCTACAAGTGAAGTGGATGCCACCCGACTCCTCTCGATGGTGCCCGTCACGGCTCGTGTTGCGGGCTGTTGCGGTGAGTGTGCCGCGTGTTCGGCTCGTGCTGCGGGCGAGGTCAGAGGCGAAAAACGAGTCGACCAGCTGGGCAAATGCGCACGCGCCATTGTTGTTGAGCATGGACAGGGAGGTGGCGGTCAGTGATGTCGCCGCCGCCAATGCAGCCGATGGTTCTGGCTCTGGAGCCGGGGCAGAGGGCCTCAGCGATTTCAAAGCTCGGGTCTGACTGTTGGGGAAGAGGTGGACACAGCATATCCCACAAGATGCGCCGCCTGGGGGTGTTTCCCGAGCCTGAGAAAGTCCCAGTGTCTTCAAGTTGTGTCCGATGTCCCCAAACGCTTGCCGGGCTCAACCCCTTCCGCTCCAATCAATCTGAGGTAGGAAAGGATATCCCCTCACTGCTTGGTTCAGAATCTGGCATAGGCTCTCCTGTCGCAGTGACCAGAGTCCTGATCAAGGCAGGGGAAACTGAGAAGAATATGGAAATGCTGTGTGCTTGATACACTTGGCCACGTGATCCATGAACTGCCTCATGATCCGAGAAGAACAGAACTGTGGGGTGGCATGAGCATGGGCTTCATGTAAATCTACTTCGAACACCAGGGCTTGCACAGCATCTTTTTTTGCACGACACCCTGGAACCTGGCCCAAACACTCCAACAAAAAGAACGAAATGCGTTCGATTGCTTTCGTCTGCGTCAGCTGAGATTGCCTCTGGCCTTTTCGTCCTTCATTCGGCCTCCCACCCACCGGGCAGGCCTGTTGAGGAGAACCTTCATAGGCATGGGACCATCTGGGCCTATCGCAATGCGAGAAAAAAGGGATCGTGTTGGCTTTTACATGCGCAGAGGTCCAAATCCATCAGGAGGTTCACTTGAAACCACACACTTCTGAGAAGAGCAGCAAAACCTCTTTCCTTTGGGGGGAGTGTTGCCAATTCGCAATTGAAATTCTGGCCAATCAAGACTCGAAAACAACAGCCTCACCCAGCATCCGGGAGACCTAAACCCTACGAGACCGTGGAAGATCACCGAGAGTCAGAGCCATCTCATTAAAGTTCAAGAGGCTTTACATCAAAATGATCTGAACTGTAGCTGAAATTGGGAAGCCAACGAGGCTACGAGCTGAAGTATCATAGACTATAGACCCGTAGGCAAACAGCCATGCCTTCTAATACATTGCCACATCAATGCCTGTTTAAGGCCATCTAAGGCCATCTACCATGCAGGCACAGCTTTAGATGGTCCCGGATCCTATCTCAATCACCTCTGTGTGCGTATAAGCTTTGAAACAAACACCTAGAATGTGATGCAAACCCCCCCCCCGCTCCTCCGCTCCCGAACGTGTTGGGGGGAGGATCCAAACAGGTGGACCTACCCGACCGTGGAGTCCTGGTGGCTCGGACTCCCGGGGAATCCGACGTGGTTTCAGCAGGGACGCACGGGGTGCGGAGGGGCGCGGAGGGGCAGCTCGTCGCGACTTCCCGGCCGCGAAGCGAGCGATTCGCCTGAGTCGATTGGCACACCTGCCACGAATCACTAGCAGCAGGTGGCTAACCACCAGGCTCGAATTCGATTGTTTCGCCTGGGAGAACTCCCCCACATTTGGGAAAATCAGATTGGTGTCCAAACATCTTCAACCTCACCTGCTAATAGCTTGGAACACATTGTAAGTTGTCTTCCTTCAAAACAAAAATAGCGGCACCATCACCTGAAATTCCGCAGGCCTTGCACGACTTGTGTGCTCGAGGAACTGTCTTGAGCCTGAGGCCAAAAGTCTGGTGTGGGTCAAAACTAGACCAAGAAAACACATCATTGATATAGTTATTAGTTAAAATATATATATATATATATCGGTCAAAACGCGTAGAGAGGTCGCCCTAGGAGGATGTTTGCCCGGGGGTCATCGACGTCCCATCCGACTCTCTCCCTGAAATCATCGCATGGTCATGTGGATGGCATGGCCCCGAGATCAGATGACCAAGAAATCGGAAGACCGGGGGTGGTGTTGCACTTCCACAGTTGATAATAAACTAATCTAATATAAGGAATATAATATAACATGATATAATACTAATGTATTGTAATGTAATGTAATGTAATGTATTATATATATATATTATATAGTATCTTATAATATCTTATATATTATATATACATATATATACAATATATATATAATATGTGGGTGTGTATTTTAATAGGGGCACTCCCACCCCATTGGTCATGTTGGTCTATTTTCCGAACTGTTCTGTAAGCGGTCGACTTCCGAGGTGTTCGGTCGATCGTCACAACGTCACCGAGCGCGAACCGCGCGGTGAGCAGTTCGCGGCGAAATGGCCGGGCGGTGTCACGGAAGCGGCGAGTGGCTGGCAGGAGACATGTCTGGGTGAAGAAAGGAAAAAGACTTGTTCTCTTTTCATGTTCTTTTTCAAGAGTCCCAGTCCGAACTTGTTTGGCATCTCTTGTACCTTTCTTGAAGCAATGCAATCATCTACACCCTACAACCAAACGCCATGGATATGATTCAATGATGTTTACCACGTTTACAAGTTTGCCGAGCAGCCCCGGTAAGCTTGCGGGGTTGCTTTTCTTAAAATGGAACAAAAACATTCGGTCTTCACATGTCTTCACATGTCTTCACCAGTCCATCAGGCGGCTCTTCACGGCTTTTCCTCCCCGCCTGAGCCGGCTTGGCCTGTCCTGCAACTCCTCCACGCTTCCCACGAGCACGGGCTCGCCTGTGTCGGTCTCGCTGTCGTGGTTTCAAGAAGATCCACGTTTGGGAACCTGAAGTCTGGACCTTCGGAAGACGAACAAACCCAGTGGTTCTTCAGCTTCCAGACGTGGATCTTCCAAACGGTGATCCTCGTGGCTGCTGAGGAGCGGGATGCCGGACATGTCAGACTTCCGGACTGCGGAGAACAAGTACTGGTTCCAGTCCATGCTGAACCAGGTCGACCCAGAATCCTTTTGTCCATCGTTTACAGTGATCCTCTATCCGAATCCCAAGAATGCCAGTGGGGTCGGCCAGCGAATGCTAGTGAGGGGTATACATGCGCAGGGGGTTGGAGACTTCGCCAAAAATGGAGACCATGGTCTTCCAGGTGTATCTGTCTCAGTGACTTCCAGGTGTATCTGTCTCAGTGATAGACTTCTTGGGAGACTTTTTCAAACATCTGGGTCCCATCATGGGATTCCGGACCCAGCTCCAGCTCCACTCCACACGGCAGCAGCCTAGTGACTTGAGGGTTCTAACGGTTCGGCCCAAAGCCAGAACAGCGGGCCTTGTGGTGGTAGAGAAGGTGCCGGTCGTACTTCCATCGTTGCCGCTTAACGAGCCAGTGGTACTGCCGTTGCTGCCGCCGCCTCAGCCAAGGAAACTCTACAGGGACAAGATCCCTGTGGACAATATCAGTTTCATGGTACGCTTGGTTTCCTGGCGGCTTGCGCCACCACACTGAGCCCCTGACTGGCGGTAGTGACTTGACTGGTATCACTGGTTTGGCGCCCCATGTCTTCATCAATGTTTAAGGCATCCTTCTCGCCCTGGCAAGCACGTGACCGATGCGACACACACTGGTTAGAAGAGAATTCGAGGAGACTTAAGCAGGTGGCCCCCTCCAGATCTTGAAGAAGGATATCTGATATCTCTCATCTCAACCACATCATTTCACAGCTAACCTGGGTCATGTCGCCCTTTTCGTGCAAGTCTGGTCGGGAAACAGGGTCTCTCGCGTAACAAAGCAACCGCCTCCGGGTTGCACCAGTCGCCTATTTTTCGTTCGTTGGGCGCCAAACAAACCGTCCTTGTTGGGATTCTCCTTCTCGGCTTCAAGGGCTTTCTCAGTCTTCTCACGCTTCTCCTGTCGAGGGTTCTACCAACTCGAACGCAAGGTCACAGATCGTGAAACGTCAAGTTCAATCCACGGTTCAATCTCTTTTGCAAAAAGAGCCACAGGGCCCGTGTTTGGTCAGGTTCAAAGAGCTAGAAAGCCCAGTTCAGTTGAGTGCAAACTGGTTTCAAAACCATTCAAAATCCTGAAATCCAAAAGACTAAATGGTGTCCCAGCGCGCCGCGCGACAGGCGCGCTGCGCTGATCAAGACCGCATGTCCAGGCTTCTTCGGGGGGTCCAGGTTCTCCCATGTTCCAATGCATGAGACACGGTCATCCTCAATTGTACTTGGTCACTGTATGTTACTATGACATCATGATGATATAAACTCCGACTCACTAGCATTGAAGTTCATCGCCCGGCCCCTGGGAACTTCAAAAATAGGCTGGCTGTCCATCAACAAAGTGCATTGCTTGCAGGTATGCGTGCCGATGTGTTTTTTCAAAACACGTATGGCAAAGGAGCTTCAAACAAGGTTCGTCTGACTTTGTTCGGCCCTGGTTCCTGCTGACTGACTGTGCTTTTGGAATGGACGTGTCCTCTACGGACGGCCGAGGGTGAGGTTCCTGTGGCTCAAAGGCCCAGTTCTGAACAACCACTGGTTCTGTCCCACAAGTCGTCGAAGCAAAAAATTGACGGAAACATGCCCTGTGCTTTCGACGATTGCTTTGACGAAAACTGTGTGATGATCTGGCCGACAACTCTGACAAAAAGGGATCTTCCCTTTGCGGAAATCCAATCAAATGATCAATCATCTTTCCATGAAGGTGCCAGATGTCGTCTTAAGCACCGATCACATCCCTACGCTTTGGCCGGGATTCTTTGTGGGGATAAACACACAAACACATGATCCCCATCTTGGGCCCCCCCCAAGATGAAGGAACATGCTGCATGGCGCCCCCGCCTGCGCGGGCTCCAGCTTTTGGTTCAGTCGCAGTTCCCCCACGCCGTGGGCAAATCGACACCTGCACCGAGGACGCCGGGGGCCGTGGGATCGGAGTCCACCGGCGTGAAGTCCTTTGCATGGAGATGGTCGTTTTCTGATCGAGTCTGAGCAACTTGGGACAGACTTGACGAAAAGAGGTGCTCTCTCAGCTTCAAAGAGCTGTGAAGCTGACCCCATTGGCCGTTTGCTTCGCATGTTGGAACACTCCTTAGTTTGCCTAACCGGAGAGGACTACCTTCCAAGGCCGTGCCACATGCCATCCGCCAAACTATGATGGTTGAAGAACGATGGCTTGCATCATGCCGTTTTTGCGTATGGAAGCTGCTACCAACCATCGATCGACTCATGATCAAGGCGTCAATCCGAAGAAAATAGTTGCTTCACTGGTTGTCAGGTGAAGGATAAAGAGAAGTGCACAAATGGAAGTATCATGATGTCGATGGAGGAATCAACCCCAAGTTTACACGTCCAACCCCTTCGTCTAAAAAAGAGACCTTCCTTTCGCTGACCAAGTCGCTGATCGCCGTTTCGGCACTTGCCCTTCTCATTCCAAATGCACCTGGGAAAAGTGCCACCGGAAAGCTTTCGCCGGTTCCGAACACGTCTCGCCGGTGAGGAACACGTCCGTCTCGCTGCTTCGGCGTACGCAAGAAGAAAGCCCCCCAATCGCGCATGAAGAGACAAACCTTTGGCAAACCCAGCTGATCCGCTGAAAAGCACCCACCCTGGCCGGACGACCCACTGCTTATCATGCAAAAGGCAGGGTCTTCTTGTAGAACATGTCCGTGGAACGTAGGTCATCTTCACCTGTGCCGCGGAACGTCATGTCCTTTTCCGTTACTAGGAACAACGCTACTAGGAACAAGTGCCACGCTACTAGTAACAAGGCATCGCTACTAGGAACAAGTGCCTTACAGATAAGTTCGAGAACCTTGGTCTATACGTAGTAGGCCGACACAATCGCGATCGAATCCTTTCGGTCGCGGCACGGTCTGTTTTCCCAAAGTCCTTGAGCCAAATCAGGTTGGCGTCCAGTGATACAGTGCAAACGGCAAAGCCGATTACCGATGATGCAAGTCTTTACATGACAATTCCAGTCTTGGATAAGTTCTCCTAGACATCAACTATACATGACGTGTCATCTATACATGAAGTGTGCAACCTCACTCAAAGCTCAGTTCTTCTTGGGGACGTTTCTAGCTGAGGGATTTCTTCTCCCCCCTCTGACGCCTGAGCTGCTCGACGGCTTGGGATCAGTTCTGAATCCCGGGCTATCCAGCTGTTTCGGAAAGGTTCTGTGGCACACTGTATGGAGGTATTCTCTTCGGCTTGTGTTTCTGCCGTTTCTTGTACCCTGGCTGGGTAGGGCCTGTCGTGCCCTGAGGTCCTGTCGCTACGTCTGTCGTTGGTGTATCTGGCTGCAATGCCATCTGCTTGTCCAGCTTCAGGCCAGTGCCTGAGGTGTGCTTGATGGTGTATCCATCGAGGTGCACTCCAAGGTTTTGGAGGGTTTTGGGCCATAGTGCAGGCTCAACTGCTTTTGTGAAAGCATCGGCTTTCTGGTCGCTTGTTCCAACCAACAAGGCTCAGTTCCACGTCATCGCGATCCAACTGTTCCTTCACTGAAGCCAAACTCACGCGATGTACGCGTTTGAGATGCCTCAACTTCTTGGAGTATCCAGCAGTTACGACCTTCGCGCATGCAGTGTTGTCTTCGCGAAGCCTCAACAACACAGGACGCCCAAGCATTGCGGCATACAACTCGACCAATGGCAAACCCTCTTCAAAGAGCACATACGACAATGCGACAGTCTCTGCCTCCGTCGTGCTTCGACAAGTAGCCGTCTGTTTCTTCGACAGCCATGCCAAAGGAAACGATGTCCGCGGGCCAGACAACTGTAGCCATCCACCAGTGGTACTGTGGGTGTGTTCATCGTCTCCGCAGTAGTCTGCGTCTGCGAAAAGTTCAACAAACACATGCTCCGGCGCATCACGTACACGCCCAAGCAACATAGCGTTCTTGGTGCACTCGAGGTAGCACATGGCACGGTACAGGTACGCATCACAAGCTTGCGTCCAGGACTGTACCATGGTTGCCAACCAAGTCACAACTCTCAGCAGGTCGGGACGAGCAAGGCGTGCCAACCACATCAGTCTCATCAGAATGCTGCTGGCTGAAGATGCCAGAGCACCACGCTCTTCTGCTCCAACGAACCCCTTGCTGAGAAATGGCGATGCGACGACTTTCATCTTTGGGCTGTTCGCAACCCTCAAGTACTCTTGAACAGTAGCCTCGGCGTAAGCACGCATGTCAAAGCCAAAGAACTCTGTGTTGTCAACCTCGACAGTGGAGTGGTGTCGACCAAGAAAGCGACCCAACGGTCCAATGTCATCAATCAACACCTTTTCACCCAACGCCTCCCAGAAAGGCTCGTGCCATTGACTTGGTCCTGAGAGAATCAAGTCGTCCACGTAGACAACCAACGCCAATCCTCCGAAGGTAGGGATGGTGAAGGTGGATGCAAACTCTTCAACCTTGACTGCTCCTAAGAGACACAACTGTTCTTCAAGAAACTGTTGCCAATGGGCCCCAGCTTCTGGGTGTCCGTATAGCGATTTGCGCAATCTAATGATTGGTCTTTTGAAGCGAGGGTAGCCGCTTGGGGTGAACCAAGACTCAGGCCACAACTCTCTTGGGAGACGGATGTATGTGGCAGCCAAACTTTTCAACTCCGATTGGAGATAAGCCTTAACGGCGTCTGCCGACGACAACTTGTGTCCCTCAAAAAGACCAAAAGAGATCACGCTATTGGCTGCAACTATCGACGCAGGAGACGCAGCTAACGTCTGGTAAAGTGCTAGCTTTCCTTCAGCCGTCTTTGCAGAATCACCACGATAGCACACGCGACCTTTCAGAGCACGAAGCTCTGGAGCCAACTCAACGTGCTTTTCGCTGCAAATTTGGCAAGCAAGTCTGCAATGTGAATAGTTTCTCCTTTCTTCAATGCAGCCTCCTTCACGCGGAACTCTTCATCAACCGACTCAAGTTCCCATGTTCCCATGGAACCAACACCATCGAACTCCTTACGGATCGCCTGCAGTGCATCAGGTCGGGACAACACTTCGTTCCGGGTGAGCTGTCTCGTCACCAGGGCATACACCCCAGCCGCAACGTCTTCCGGTGGGACATACCCCTCGGGAAGCTCATCAGGAGAGTACTCGGGGCCCTCAGTGGTCTCCGGCTCAACCCAATGTTCCTTTTCTACTGCTCCTGTGGAAGAGGAAGAAGAAGTTTTCTCTGAACTCTTAGGCATTGGAAGCAGTCCAGGTGTCTTCGGTGCTCCGACATCTGGCGCCGGTGTAGGTGGCGCTGCAGCTTCTCTAGGGAAGATGGCATCAAATCGCTCGCGACATGCCTTGTTGTGGCGGTAGTGACCACCATCACATCCAGGGCAACCCTTCGTAAAACCATGCTCCAACAAACGTGAAAAAGTAATGTATGCATGACGTGGGGGTGCAACTGGGGTATCTTCCGGAAAAGCATCAATGTCAATGTCATATGGGAGCACGCCCGACTCAAGAGATCTGTCATAGATCTTCTTCTTCACCTCAACATCAGGGTCAGACATTTCCTTCAACGCCTTCATTGCCGCGTTGGACAAGGGAAATTCAATGTGCTCAACAGGAGGGAAAAACACCTCCTTCTCATGCAAGTCCTTGGGACTCCAACGCAAATGCGCTCTTGCACGGACAGCTTCATAGTCAACAACTTGTACGACATTGCGGTATCGCAAGCCTGAGTCAACACGCCATCCAGCAAACAAGCCTGGTCTTGTAGTTGGAGCGGCCATTCCATCACTCTTGGCCCTGTAGAAAACAAGTGCACCAAGAGGGTACTTCACTCCAAGAAAGGGCTCACCTGTGCAAACCTCCCAACGGGTCTTGCCAGTCTTGAGCTCCTCAATCTCCATCCCACGCTCATGCTTGCGAATCACACAAGGCGACCAAAAGGCACGAGCTTTTGCAGTGTAAACAACGGAGATCGGCCACATCTTCTTGCTGAAGCCGGCCTGGAGATGTGCTGGTCTGCACAACTCTTTCAAGGTCCTCACCTCACGTTCGACGTGGGCCGCGTGAGGCCAATCCCTGGGGATGCTCGGGGATATTGTCCAGCACAGCCTGGACGCCGCTCCGGTCAACTCACCGGCTGCATCTGATTTAAAAATGACACCGGTATCACCGTTCAACCTATGGCCACCGAAGTGTTTCAATGAGTTGTAACAGGATTCTTCTGACCTGTCTCTGGCCGGATAGGCCATGCTCAGACCGGAGAAGAGATCAACGATCACCAGAGCCACCTTCTCCCCAGCGTTGCTCACGCTCTCTTCCGACGGAAACATGTGGTCGGCTTCGAGCACACGGCCAAAAGCAGCCGAGCGTTCGTACGCTTCATCACTAGGCTCAGGTCGAACTCCGTGGGCATATCTTTTCAACATTCGACCACGCACGCAATGTTCACAAAAAGGATTCTTCTTCGCGTGGGTCGTGATGTGGTCTAGGCTCTTTGCCTCACGCTTCAACCTATCATCTCTCGACTCTGCAAATTCAGCTTCGTCATCCGCAGGAGCAAGGTCATCTTCAAGCTCGGCGGGAGTTGCAAAGGTATCAACGGATTCAATGACCAACGGTCCACGGTAGACCTGTTCCTTTGGCTCCTTCTCGACATGTTCCTGTGCGACCACGCAAACAGCTGCCTCACAAACGGGCATGGCGGGCACCTCCTTGAAAACAAGGTCAGGAAACAAAGAAGAGAAGACAATCTCACACATGATCTCTGGGTATCTTGCAGTCGTGCTAGTATTGGAACCTGTGATGGGTGCATGTCTGAAATCAGTACCATGCTTGCAACGACACTCGTTCAGGTTCTTTGCGAGGTTCTCATTTGTTGTTGCCACTCGCCACTTCTTGAGGAACGGCGTGCCCTGCCGATCAACAAGTCCAACCGCACAACCATCAAAATTCACCACTGTCATGCCAATGTCTCGAATGAGCTGGCACAATGCAGCCTGCTTCCAACCCAATGCATGTCTGGGCCACTCAAAATGAACATCTCCACCATGCTCAACAACACATCTAGCAAGCTCGCAAAAACGATCAAGCAGCTTCAACGACAAGTCTCTCGACTTGGCCAATTTCTTTCTGAACTCTGCCCCATAGCGGTGTGCATTGAGGTATTGCCATTGGCTCCACGGTCCACAAGGAAGGCTAGCCCACAAATCAATACCTGGGTGTTCACGAATGAAGTTCTTCAGGTGTGACGTGGTACTCTCATATTCTAAATTGTTCACCTCCTTGGTACAACGTGTGACCTTGACGTTCAACCTCTCACCAACAACACCTAGGTTGGAGTCCGGCTCGGTGCACAACTCAATGAGCATGCCACGGCCCTTGAGGCCAGTCTGCCTCGAACGCTGCTTCACAGTGCTCGCAGTCAAACAGGTTGGGTCAGTCTGCATTTGTGGTTGTTCAAAACTCTCGAGCTCCTTCATCACCTCGACGGCCAGCGCCTCAAAGCGTTTTGCTATCTTGCCTTTATTGGCCTGGGCCTGCGCGGTGTAGAACTCAACCATGTCACGCATCATCACAACCATAGACAACTCACCACGCGGAAGCTTCTTCTGCCCCTTCTCAACAAGACGGGTCTTCTTCATGGCCTCCCACTTGCGACGTTTGTTGTCTTTGCGATGCTGCTTTCTTCTATGCTCTTTGTTTGTTTCTGTCACAACCAAACCCTCAACCGGCACCTC